CTTCAACCGCCATATTGGATCCGTCATTTTGAATTTTTCTAACCTTGCCGATTTCGAGACCTTTCCAAAACACTACAAGAAAGTTTATTTTCGTTGAGTATTTTCCGAGTTGTGAGGCTTGAAAGCTGTAATGTACTGTAACTTTCAAGCTTCACAACTCGAAAAATACTTAACGAAAATACATTTGTTTATAGTGTTTTGGAAAGGTCTCGAGATAAGCTACAAGAATATGCAATAAAAAGTAGGCAGTTCCATTTAAAAAAGTTAATGTGATTTCGATCTGACCTTGGCGACGCCATCCAAGGTCAAACTGATAAGATCAGTAAATAGATCTTTTGAAACCCTACAACTTTTATCTGAAACATTTTTTTCTAAAATGCTTAGTTTTCGAGGTATTTCACCGGTCCGGGACTTTTTGAACACCCTGTATATATGTTTTTTTCCCTTAAGTTTGGCGTTGTTATACTGATGATTTTTGTTTTCTACGAAAAGAAGTACATAAGAAAATATAAATATTGGGAAAAAGTTTATGGCGTTTTTTAAGTAAAATTCAAGTGTTTTTCTTAGAGTATTAAAAATAATTTATTCAAACCAAATATGCTCCCTTATTTTCGATAATATTTTGTCATTTTTAGGGCAGAGCCACAATCCCATCGCGATAGAACTTCTGGGGTTTCTGGTCGAAAAACTGCTTCAAGTGATTTTCACATGCCTTTTTCGAAGCCAACTTTGCACCATTAAGAGAGTTCTGCAAAGACCTAAATAAATGACAGTCTGAGAGCGCTATGTCAGGACTATACGGTGGAAGCATTAAAATTTCCCAGCCAACCTCTCGCAATTTTGGCAGAGTCATAAAAAATGTGTGTGGTCAAGCGTTGTCGCGATGGAAGGCGACACCTCTCCTATTGATCATTTCTGGCCGCTTCCTCTCAATTGCTTATTGTAATCTCTCCAGTTGTTCACAGTAGAGTTCGGAATTAATTGTTTGACCGAATGATAACAGCTCATAATGAACGATTCCCTTCCAATCCCACTATACACACAATATTACCTTCTTCGTCGTCAATCTAGGTTTTGCGATTGCTTGCGCCTTCTCTCTTTTCTTTGTGCACGATCTTTTTCGAGTTCGATTGTCGTATGTGACCCATTTTTCATCACCAGTTATCATTCTCTTCAGAAATAGTTCAATTTCATTCCGTTTCAGTAGCGCATTGCAAATGTTAATTTGATCCATCATGTTCTTAACATTCAACACGTGAGGAACCCAAACATCGAGTTTCTTTTTGTATCCAGCTTTGTGTAAATGATTCAAAACTGTTTTATGGTCGATGCCTAGTTTCCTGGCAATCTCCACGCTGCTCACATGCTTATCACGCTTAACTTTTTCCATGATTTTATCGGACTTTTCGGTGATTGGTCGACCGGAGCAAGATTCATCTTTGACATCGAAATTTCGGGCGTATCAGTTGGACACGGGGCAATTGGACACAGTCCAATCACAAGTCGCTGTTCCAAGGGACCCTACAAATGTCTCTAATCACACGGTGCTGTAATTGGCTGTGTCCAAATGCATCGTGTCCAAGTGCACCGCTCCCCGAAATTTCTAGTACGAAAACGAGCAACCTATTTTTGCGCTGCTGACGTTGATAGACTATCTTCACCGTAAACAGCACAAATTTTTTTACAAGCCTGTGTAGCGTTCTTGCCTTTAGCGTAGTGATATTGCAAAATGTAGCAAATTTTTTCCTTATTTATCCTTATTTTCAAAATAAAATAACTTTTGATCCACTTCACTGATTTCATTCTTTTTCGGCTCAAAATAAAGGTTGAAATGTCACACGTGTCTAGTGTTGTCGAAGCGATTAATAGTTACCGAGTACTGAGCATGTAATGCCATCTAATGCCAAATGCCACGAACTTTTTCCCACACCTAATATATATTTTGGTTTTTACGGGTCCTGGATATCACTAAATCCCTGATACATCTACTGGACATACTTAGAAATTTTTGCTATGTAGGAAATGAAAATAACGTCATAAAGAGATAAAAATGATGTGTCGAAATATTCTTATTCGGTTCAATTTTCTAACAGAAACTATTCGTAAATGTCACAGCGTTCGTTGATTTTACTTAAAAATTTTAGATTATTTATTTTCAATGTTATATCACATTTAAACATCCAAAATTGAGGGTTTTTTTCGTATGTTTTTCATAAGAGTAGACATGACAGCACTTCATCAATCGATATAAACGTTTTACATTTTGTCTATGTATGTTGTAATTAACACAGTAATATAATTTTCTGATAATATGATTTAATAAAATAATTTAATTTTAATAAAAATTATATTTTTTGTACTTTTATTGTTAATTTAACCCTTAGCTAATGAGGTAAGGTCTTCTTTAAAATGAATTCTCTATGAACTTCTATTCCTTTCTGTGCTATCTGGGTCAACATTTTCTCATTAACATATTGGAACATCATCTTACTGGATAATTGCAACTGGATAATCAACTGGATAATTGCAACAATACAATGCTCGTGAGTAAGAAATAGTAGGACAAGTTCTATAAGGTTTATTCCTTAAAAGTCAAATGCTTGAAATGCAAGCAAATAAAAAATAACGTGTATAAATAATAATCTAAAGAGAGGGACGGAGGGAGGAAGGGAGTGAGTGAATGAGTGAGTGAGTGAATGACAGTGACAATGACAGTCACAGTTTTCCTAACCTTAAGTGGTCAACTTTGTCTGCTAATATTTCACTTCGCAGTAGAGAGCGACGAGTTTGTCAGATGAAAAAGTCGTTTCTCGTGCAAAAACGCGTCGATTGAATCTACTTTCATCGAAAGTTGAAGGGCCTAAGCTAAATAATTACCGAGAGCAAAACTTTTTCTCTTTCAGAAAAGCTAAAAATGTGGCATTACTTGCGACTAATAAAGAAATGACTCCAACACAAATGCAGCTTGCATTGCACGAGGATATCATAACATCTTACGTGAATAAATTAACATTAAATTTATGATTAATAACATTTGCGTTAGTTCATGTAACATTCCTATTATAGGTGATAACTTGTAGTTATTAGATAATATATATAAACAGAATACTCATAACAACCTACTACCCTTATAGAAATATCATACTAAGAATCATTGATAATTACTTATTATCCAGTATTTTTAATACTGAAAATAAGTAATTATCAATGATTCTTAGTATGATATTTCTATAAGGAAAGTGAATGAAATAAACGGAAATAATAGTAGGTCTTACTAACTGTGCTCGTTAGTTCGTAATAACACAAATTGTGAATGAAACCTATCTTTTCTTTCATTGTTGAACAAATTATTATTATTGTTTTTGTTACTCCATTATAAATAACTGTATGCATTGTAATACTAATAGTAGTTATTGTGTTTATTCGTTTTAGTTCCAGTAAATATCTATAAAAGTTATAATATGGATAATATGGATAACAGTCCTTATAGAAATATCATACTAAGAATCATTGATAATTACTTATTATCCAGTATTTTTAATACTGAAAATAAGTAATTATCAATGATTCTTAGTATGATATTTCTATAAGGAAGAAAGAAGAAAAGAAAAGATATAAGTGTAGTTACAGATAGACATTATACAGGGTGTCCTAAAACCACCGAAATTGCTCTTAATGGTAGATTTCTTACAATATTTTAAGAAGAAAATTCTAATACAAAAATGTCGAGGCTATAATAGCTTTTAAACGGGAAGCGATTACATTTAACGAATGGCAGGGCTGAGATTTCGCGCGCTCAGGTACGGAAAAATGACAAATGCAAAAAGTGCTCCTATTAATGGGGCTCTCTTTTTATGATATTATTGTCATAAATTTGCAATATGTTTTTGCTTCTCTATGTATTGCATATTAATACATTTTTTCACAAATAAAAGATGTAAAAACTAAAGGTATATAAAAAATAATTTAAGTAAAAATTTGCATATTTCAACTTGAGCTGTCAAAATCATTGATTAACATTACCATAAAGGTGTCTATGCTACTCGAGACAAATAAATTGTAATAGAATTAATAGCTGTTTATTTATATATTTTATTTTAGAACATTTTTATTGTATTTTAGAACATTTTTGAATGTTCGTAACGAAATACAAATTG